TGCGCCTTTCTTGTACATAACCGTGTAGTGGAAGTTGGACTCGAGGTAGTCCAACCAGCGAATCTGTCGTGGATTGAGGTTCGGTTGGGCGCGTAAGTACTGTAGTGATCGGTGGTCTGTCCGTACTGTCACATCGGCGCCTGTCAGGTAACACTGCCAAACCTTGAACGCGTGCACGATCGCCAACATTTCGCGGTCGTGTATCGGGTAGTTGCGTTCGGGCGGGTGCAGCATGCGGGACTCGTACGCGATTGGCTGGAGGCCGTTCCCGAAATCCTGCAACAGTACTGCCCCCACAGCGATGTCACTTGCGTCAGTGACGAGCTCGAACGGACGGTGTGGATCTGCGATGTGAAGCACGGGCGGTGAGCACAAAATGTTTTTGAGGGCCGAGAAGGCAGCTTGCTCTTTCTCCCCCCACGTGTACTCAACCCCCTTCCTCAGCAGGTCGGTCAACGGGGCAGTCAGCTTCGCCATGTCGGGGACGAACCGGCGCACGTAGTTGACGAACCCCAAAAAACTCTGCAACTCGGTCAAGTTGGTCGGCGCGTGCCATGCTTGAATCGTCGCAATTTTCTTCGGGTCTATTTCCACTCCTGCAGCTGAAATAACGTGTCCCAAAAACTCCAGGCGGTCCTGTAAAAACTCACACTTGGACGCTTTTGTCAGTAGGCGGTTTTCACTCAGTATTTTAAAAACTGCTTCGATGTCCTGTAAGTGCTGTGCTCTGTCAGGGCTGTAAATCAGTATGTCGTCCAGGTATACTATGACGCACTTATCTAAGAGCGGGCGGAAAGCTTCGTTCATGGTCATTTGAAAAGTGGCGGGGGCGTTGGTCAGTCCGAAGGGCATGACGCTGTATTCGAAGGATCCGTAGCGTGTGCGAAATGCGGTCTTAGGGCAGTCGGGCGGGTTGACGCGAATCTGGTGGTAACCCCCTCGGAGGTCGATTTTCGAGAAAACCCGGGCTGTGCGCAGTTGGTCGATCAGTTCGTCGGCTCGCGGGATGGGGTAACGGGATTTGATGGTAACCCTGTTCAGTGCTCGGTAGTCTATGCACATGCGAAATCCCCCGTCTTTTTTCGGTGTGAACAGTATCGGTGCTGCGAAAGGCGACGAACTAGGGCGAATGAACTCCTTCTCGAGCAGGTAATCGAGCTGCTTCCTCAGTTCGTCCAGTTCGGGCTGGGTCAGTCGGAACTGTCGCTGTACTGTTGGCTGTGCCCCCGGTTCTAACTCTATCCTGTGGTCGTGCGGTCGCTGAGGTGGCAGTCCCGTCGGTAAATCGTCCGGGAAAATGTCGCTGTACCGCTTCAACAGTGCTGCCAGGTCACTCGGTACGTCGGTCAGCAGTTTCTGTAAATCCCCTCCTTTGTCTGCTGCCTCGGCTACCCGAATGTCGACCGCGTACACGTCAGCTCCTGCCGCTACAGCGCGTTTCATCGTGATCGCGTTGACGCACACCGACGAAGACTCAGGCGAGCCCCAGCGAGGTAGGGCGATGTTGTTACCATTCACTCGCACGGTGCAGTCACCCGTCGTCCAGTCGATTCGCGGATTGTGTCGTCGCAGCCAATCACGCCCGAGTAAAATATCGGTTCCGTCGAGGGTCGTTGCGAGCATTTCCTGGCTAAACGTGAAGTTACCCCCACATCAAATCCGAACCCGGTCTACGCGTTCCCGAATTGCCAGCGGCGTGCCGTCTACCAGTCGTGCGTCGATCTCAGGTAAACATCTGTTCAGTGGCAGTCGCAGTTTTCGTGCTGTAGCAGTGTTGATGAGGCTGTGGCTGGCTCCCCCGTCTACGAAGATTTTAACTAAATCCGTCCCGATTTTCCCACTAAGCAGTATGGGGCTGTCTACCGTAGTCCCCTCCTTATTCGGCCGAGTGTGGTCGATTGCGTGAACCGGCACAATCACTCGGTGAGGGTCGGTTGGGTCGGGCGAGCGGCGTGACCTGTCAGTAGAGGGCCCGTCTGCTACTGACTCCCAGCGTTTCCCTGCTGCTTGGTCTGTTTCTGCTGCTCAGCTTCCCCCTTTCCCTAAGCGTTTTCCGGGCATTCGCTCTTGCGATGTCCCGGCCGATTGCACGCAAAGCAGCGCCCTTTGAACGGTGCGGCAGCGGCATTTGCGGCGACGGCACGTATCGTGGCGCCCTCGTTCGTCCCACGAGGCCGATGTCCCCAATGGCTGCTTCCGTAGGACCCCGGTCTCGGTCGGCGGAAGAAGTCGAGTTTCTCCGCCATAGCGAGAATTTCTTGAAAATCGGTGACGCCGCGAAGCTGGATTTCCTGAGCGATGTCCTGCTTCAGGCCGCCGATGTAGCGGTCGATGCGCTCGCTCTCGTGCATATATCCCACCTGCTCGCATAGCGCCAGAAATCCGCTCGTGTAATCTTGGACGGAACCGAGTTGGCGCCAAGTGCGGAGCTTCTGTCGCGCCGCGATCGAAGCCGCGATTGGCTCGAAACGAGCGCGCAGACCTGCGCACCACGCGTCCCACGTGCGATACTGGGGCACCTCCACGAAATACGACGGCGCCCAGGGTCCGGTTTGTCCTTCCCGTGTCGGTAGAGTCGTGTAGTCCACCGGCTTCGTGACGATGACGCGCCACCAGTCCATGGCGGGTCCTCGCAGCAGCGACACGGCGTAGCGAATCTTCGCCGTATCCTCCGAGACGTAGTTCGCGTCGAAGAAGACGTTCAACGTGAAGAGCCACGCCTGAACGGTAGGACCACCCCGCTGACTTGGGTCAAAGCATGGCGGACGCTGCGGCTTTAGCGGCATCGGCGACGGAAGAGTTGATTCGCCGGCCGGCACCGAAATCGTGACTCGAGGCTGAGTCCTGGCCGCATTCGTCGCGTCGGGGTGTGTCGTGCCGTGGTCGTCGTCTCCGTCATGGCGGACGACGCCATCACTTGCGGCGCTCGCGGGTTGCCCCACACTCCCGTGCTGTGATGTCTGTGGTGCGGGCTGAATCGGAGTGCCAGGTGCTTGGGATTGTGCCCGTGTGAGGTCGTTCTGCAGGGACGAGCGTTCTGCCGTCAGCGTCGCGATTTCCTCGGCGCTCTCGCGGATTTGTCGCAGCAGATCGTTCAAGTGCTCCTGCGTAAGAGTCGTGACGTCGATATGTTCAGCCATTTCGAAGGGCGTCGGCTCGTCTTAGTCTAGGCGCAGTCGTGGCTGCACGCGTTTACGAGAGAACGCGAGGACAGCGGCTCCTAGGTGGTAAGGTACGTGAGTCCCTTCGAGTGAAAAAACAAAAGTTGATTTCCTGGGGTGCGGGGATGCGCGGTCCGAAAAGGAAAGAGGCTCTGAATACCAAGTGTTACGGGTGCAATGAATCGAAGTAGCGAGAATTGCACTAAGGTGTCAAACGAGTACAAAATGTGAGCGAAGGCATGAGCGAACATTTATACGCGAAGCATGCAAACGGTAACGCGGCGCGTGCGAGCTAGCTGGTGCTATGCTGGAAACGAGGCTCGGGCTAGTCCCGAAGCGTAGGCTGACACGACCAGGCCAGCAGTGCGAGGTTTGGTGAAACAGTGCGCGCGAAGTCGGCGAAGCCCCGTTAGCAGTAACGGGCGAACAACGACTGTTGCTGTACGCGATGTAGTCGGGCTCCGTAAGGAATGCCGAGAAAATTCCTTACAGGAATACAGCAATTGTCTAACTCTGTAGTAAGCATCACACAACGAGCCTTCTACGACTGTGGATGCTCTGAATATTTGTTTTTGTATAACGCCCTTGAACATTCTGTACTACCGGTACAAGCATGTGGTAACGAATATAGTTAATGAGTATCGTAATGTCAAGATCGTATTTCACTACACCGTGATACAGGCGCTTCCAATATTTTGTCCCTAGTTGGACATCATTCCAGGCGTTTTATTCTTTAACGGGCCAAAATCCTAGAGACGAATAGTGCTTACATTACACTAATCACCATACGCGAGACAAGGGCGTGTAAAATTGTAACGACCAAACGAATTGCAAATTCACTCGAGCCCAGAACCTCGAACCCTAATTGAGAAATCCAAGGCCTGGTCAGCGTGGGCAGCAGCGACTCGCTTGAATACTGGACTAGAGACTCTAGACTACGCCAACCGCCAAAACGACTTCTCTGAGTCCCTCCTCCAAGAGGTGACCCGACCGAGCTCTGGGAGCGCTTGATTTGAAACACATTATCGAATTTCTCGACTGGGGATGGAGCTGATTTCTTCGGCGGAAGGCCGCTTCGTAACAGATGGCGTGGCGCAAAATCTGCGCGCGGATGGGCGCGCGCGGGAAGTCTTCCGCCCGTTCAGCCTAGACACTGGAGTTATCCCGCAGGTGGGGCCTGGGAGATTCTTTGCTCTTCGTTACGACGGCTGACGGCTGACGGCTGACGGCAGCTGATGGTTGACAGCAGACGGCTGAGGGTCGCGAGCTTGGTAATTATCCAGTTAATTTTCTCCAGTAGACGGCTGAGGGTCGTTCGGCTGATGTAGGGAAGGTAGCTCCGAGTACGCAGGCACGCACGCACGCAGGCTCCGACTCGCGCTGATTAGACGTCTCAAGAGTCGGTCTTCAATGCCCGCCTCCCCTACCGCCTCCCGCCTCTCGTCTGCCCCCTCCCGCTTCCTGCTCCCGCCCCTGCTCCTGCTCGTGTTACAGGCAACCGGTTCGGCGAGGCTGCGGCTCGGCGCCACTCACATACTGGCGTGCGTGAAGGTGCGTGCTGCTGTGCGGTGACCTTGGCACGGCGGTGGGGGAGTGGGAGGGAAAAGAAAGGCAGCGGATGAGTGGTTGACGGGATCTGTTAGTCCAGCTCGACAGCGCATTTGGTGAGCAGTTAGAGAGCAGTTAGAGAATACTCGAAGTAGACATGAATATGGTCCAGTTCAGAGCAACAAGGCGGTAGGTTGAACCGTTGCGTCGACTGTCTGTCTCGATCCACAGTTCACAAGATCCTTCCATGTGTCCGTCTGGCTCGACTCGACGCAACGAGTCAACAACACCATGTGCATGCATGCATGCACGTACCCTTCTCTCAGTCCCACCCTTCAACTCCTCCTCTGCAACGCCTCCTCACGTCACGCCCCTATTCTAACGCCCTCCCCCACATTCATCCACGTCCTCGTCCCTGCTCATCGCAACGTGACGTGCCGCTGTGCCGCCGTGGTCTGTCCCTCCCTGTGTGCGTATGAGCAGGCGGAGATAGGGTCACCGCCAGCAGGGCGGCCGTGGGGTGGGCGCATAGAGGTCTCCGTGGACTGCTCGCCCACTGCCACGCCTGCCTTCCGGGTATTCCACCTCCTGCTGCTGCTGCTGCTGCTGTTGGTTGTGCTGGTGCGGGTAATGGCAATGGTGATCGATAGTGATGGTGCCGCTGGTCCTTGTGCTCCCTTCCGCCCGTGTGCACATGGTCACTCACTCGCGAACCGCAGCACCCTCCTACTCCGCCCCCTTTCCCCGCCATGGCAGGGCAGAGGAGGCGAGGAGCTGTCGCAGGAGCTGACTCGTGTTCTTGAGAGATCGTTTCTAGGAGGCGCAGACGGCTCAGGTGAGAGAGTCGAGTCGAGTTGAGATATAGAGGAGGGATGATGGAGGAGAGAGTGATGGAGGTGGAAGTTGGAGGAGGGATGATGTATGTAGGATGTTGCTTGGAGTCTGCTTTGGTGGGGTTGCCACTGCCGAATGCAACCTCCTTTTCTCAATCTTGTAAATCCACGTTCTTTAAACGTCTTTTTCCTTCCTGCCTCCTGCTACAACGCCCCGCCCCCCTCATTCCCTCCCCACCCTCTTCCCCCCGTTCCCCCCACCAACCCCCCCTCCTCTCCCCCCTTCCCTACCTCTTCGTATGCGCTTTCCACTCATGCCCCTTCTGCTCCATGCTCTCCCCCTTCTGCCCTTCCCCCTCATGCCCTCACCCACTCCCCCCTCTTGGCGCCCTCCCTCACACCCTCCCCCGCACTCAATTCCTTGTTGACCAGGGGTGGCGGTGGAGCTGGGGCGGCTGATGCTGGTGACTTGTAAGACGCCAACTCCTTCCCCCTCGTGCCCTCACCCACTCCCCGCTCTTGTCGCCGTCCCTCACACCCACCCCCACGCTCAATTCCTTCCCCCATGACCAGGGGCGGCGGTGAAGCTAGGGCAGCTGATGCTGGTGACTTCGAAGACGTCTCAAAAGCCCTTATGCCCTCACCCACTCCCCCCTCTTGGCTCCCTCCCTCACACCCACCCCCATGTGCTATGCTACCCCTCCCGTCCCGCTGTGGCCAGGCGCGGCGGTGGAGCTGGGGCAGCTGATGCTGGTGGAGCACAAGAGCTGCTGGGTGCTGTACCTGGACGCTCTAGTGCTCAACATGGACGGCAACCTCGTTGACGCTCTCTCCATCGCCTTCAAGGTTCCTCTCCTCTCCCCTCCTCTCCTCTCCATCCCCCCCTTTTCCTCCTCCTCATCTTCTGCACATGCTCCTCCTGCTTGCTCATCCTCTTTTTTCCATTCTCCATTTGCCACTTCCATCCTTTTCTCCTTCCTCCATCTTTCGTCCGTTCTTCAGCCTCCAGCCCACAGCATCTCTCCTCTCTCCGCTCAGTCTCCCTCTCACTGCATTTCGGTCACGAAGCTTACGCCACTTCACACCTGTCCCCACAACCACAACTGAAATCTTCCTTTCTCACCACCCCCACCTCCCTTCCCCTCTTTCCCCCCCTTCTCATCCCATCGTTCTCAACAACGGCTTCTTTCCTGTCCCGCCCTCGTACCTCTTTCCCTGTAGTTTGCAATCGATTTTCAGAACCTCACAACAAGATATAAACATCCGCACCGTGTCCTGTCTCCACCAGGCGGCGTTCAGCAACAGCATACTGCCGGATGTGGAGGTGAAAAGAGCCAATGTTATAGGCGACACAAAAGCTGTTGTCCTCCCTCCCATGTCTCTCTTGTTGTTCTGTGCCCTCCAGGCGGCGTTGAGCAACAGTGTGCTACCAAAGGTGGAGGTGGTGATGGGGGAGGGTGAGGACGGGGAGCCGGAGCTAGAGGTGGTGGATGACCCAGACGAGGGAGTGCCTCTTGACACCTCGTCCACGCCCATCATTGTCACTCTCAATAGAGTACGTCTAGAAGCGCACACATATTGTTTTTCTTTAGGTGCTTTTTGTTTTTCAGGTGTGCTTACTTTTGGGCTGCTGACTTTAATTAGTTGCCTATTTTTGAGGTGCTGAGCTGTGCTGTGCTGTGTTCCGCTGTGTGGCGTGCAGTTGGGGAAGCATGTGATAGTGGATGCCACGCCAGAGGAGGAGGCAGTGGCAGAGGCATCACTATGTGTAGCAGTGAGGCCGGATGGGAGGATTGTGAGTGCCACCAAGGGGGGCAATGCAGGGGTGCACCCCTCAGTGCTCGCTGAGATGCTTGACACATCCAACCGCGTAGCCATGTCGTTACACCGCCAGGTCGATGCTGCCATGGCTGCTGCAGCAGGGTCGAGAAAAAACTGAAGGGAATGCGCAGGCTGCTGTTATTGATTGCAACGCACGGTTGGGATGAGGTTGTATCTTAATGTAAGTGCATATTATGGCTCCTTCAAATGAGCAGCCAGGGTTTTGTCTTTTATTGTACATCCAAGGCCCTCAAGCCCATTTAGATCCAAATCTTGACAAGAGTAGAGGCTTCCAAGCACATGAGTGTTTTGCCCCAATTCCCAGAAAACCCGTTGATTTCTAAACAATTTAGTAGCCCTTTTAAAACTACCCTCCCTTATGGAAGACAGGCAGATATAGAGATCTTCCCCAATCAAGTATTTTCACAGGCCCGCTCCGCAATAGTTTGGAAATGCATACGAATTGGGGTAGGAGAGTATAGCTTCAACATTTGATAAAGGAACCAGCCATCTCTTTTGTACCCTTGAGAATCCCTAAACGTGAAAACTTTGCTCAGGAGAAACCAGTATCTCACTTCCCATCGATATTGCCATCTCCTCGAGTTTCCCCAGTAAACCCAGCCTCCACCAGCTTTCCCTAACACACCTACCAAGCCAAGTCAACCCACCCCACCCCACCTCACCTCCCACAACCACGGACCCATCCACCCACTCACCCAATGCCTCGATTTCTTCTTGCTTCCTCGATGTCATGCTAGTCATTCATAACCAGAGTGGCGTCTCACCATAGACGCTTGATCTAGGCTGAAGCTGACACGCTGCCGCCAGCACTATTGTCCGCTGCTCTCCAGGCGCATTGCATATCGAACGCATCTCGGGTAGGTTCGAGATCGACTGAAGCAGCAGGTCTCTGGCCTTCCGTCGCCCGTGAGACGTCTCTTGGTCAATTTCCTCTTCAAGCAACTCGCGAAGCGCTAGCCACTTGTCACCGATTTCTCGTCCTGTATTGAAAGATATTCTTCACGGAGCGTTTCCACAATGCGCGTCCTGATCGCGAAACGCGTTGTAAATCGCGTTACCCTCGCTTCCCTGGTCCGCCCCGCCAATGTCGCCTTTCTCCTCCTTTTCAGGTTATTATCGAATCAGATCTTTCGAGATCTTCTCGCTCGACGATCTACAACACCGTCGTTTGAATCTTCACGAGAGTCTTTCCCGTTGCGAGTCGTGTTCTGAGTCGTCTCGACACACCTGTCGCCATGTCCAGTATCGAGGTGGAATGGCGCTACTTGGCCAGAGACGCTCCTTTGGCCGCTCGCTATAATCACGCTCTCGCGGTTGTGGAACAAGATCAAGGGGACCCCAAGGTAAACATCATTCATGCAATGTGATGCTTTCCTTTCCTCTACCCTACCCTCCCTACCTCCCTCTGAAACTCCTCCCCACTCCTTCGGCCAATGATCTGTTCTTTTTGATTCGTTTCATACTATAGTTCACGCGTTGAGATGATCGTTCCGAGCCAGGCATTTGGATCTAGCGTTGTTCGTTCGTTATGTCCGTTTGTCGTTCTCGCCTCTGGTAGATCTCACGTCGCAATGGGGTGGGGTGTATGCTTTTGACAACTTAATGCACCTTCTGCTGCACCTTCTTGATGCACCATCTTCTGTCATCATGTCGTGTCATGGCGTGTTCGTGTCATGGCATCTCGTCTCACGTCTCGTCATCACACATCGCATTTGCCAGGTGTACGCGGTGGGCGGGCAGAGCAAGGCAGCGCTGCCGCCAGATGCCTTCGTGGAGATCTTCCTTCGCGAGGGCGACGGGTGGACCATCGGATCGTCGCCGCCTATCGCCACTGCGGGCAAGACGCGTGTTGGTCACGCCACCGCAGGTGGGTGAAAGGCGACGATTTGCTGAGAGGGAGAAAAGCTGGGGTAAGGGCGAAGGGCCGAGGGGCGTGGGAAGGTTGCAGTGAGGCATGGGGTGGGGCGGAGGGTGTGGTGTGGGAGGTTGGGGAATCGGGAAGCACGAGGAGCAGAAAGCATTGAGATGACATTCTGTGATGTGAACGTGACATGTGGAGTGGGGTTGTGTGAGTTTGTTGTGCCATTTGCTTCTCTTAGATCCGTCAAGTTCCCCCTCTCCCTCTGCACTGCCCTGTTCATCCCTGCATCCCGAAACAGTTATTGACAACACGATCTTCCTCGTGGGAGGCGAAAAGGAAGGCGTTCCTCAGGTGCGAGCCTGCATGCCATTACATGCCATGCCATCATGCCCGTCAACATCCTTTCTCCTTATCTCGCCAACGCCGACATGCCTTTCGTTTACTTGCCTCATGCCTTGCACATCTCATGTGTCGCGCATCTCATGCCTTTATTGAAACCCATGTTTGGCACCTCAGGTGTGGCATCTCTCTCCTCTCTTCCACTTCTCCCACCCCACCAGAACGATATTTTGGAGTTCCACACAGCGTCTGACACGTGGAAGACGTTTGAGGTGGCGGGCACAGCCCCTCCCCCCTTGGCCTTCCACACTGCTACGCCAGTCAACAAGCGCATTGTAATGCGCCCGCCCTCCCTACGTTGTCCTGTCCTCAACCCATGCTGGTGCTTTCTTGGAATATTTTTTCTGAGAGATCTGATAAATAGCGCCACTCTACGCAGCGGTTGTCAATCTGCACCAGTTCTTTCTTTCTTGTTTCTATCCTTGCCTCCACCTGTGCGCTTCATCTGTCACTTGTTCAGCTGTTTTTGCTTGTTCTTCCACACTGCTACGCCAGTCAACAAGCGCATTGTAATGCGCCCGCCCTCCCTACGTTGTCCTGTCCTCAACCCATGCTGGTGCTTTCTTGGAATATTTTTTCTGAGAGATCTGATAAATAGCGCCACTCTACGCAGCGGTTGTCAATCTGCACCAGTTCTTTCTTTCTTGTTTCTATCCTTGCCTCCACCTGTGCGCTTCATCTGTCACTTGTTCAGCTGTTTTTGCTTGTTCTTCTCATGCGGCCTCCTTCTCGTCCTTGGCTTCTCTATCTTCACAACTCCTCCTCTCCCTCTCTCTGTCGATCCCTTCTTCCTCGTACCCTCCCTTCCTCCCTCCCTTCGTCCCTCCCTCCCTCACTCTCTCTTCTCTCCGTCTCTCCGTCCCTCTGTTCGTCCCTCCGTCCGTCCGTCCGTCCGTCCGTCCGTCCCCCCCCCCCTCTCCCTCCCTCTCTCCCTCCCTCCCTCTCTCCCTCCCTGACTTCTCCCTTCCCTCGTCCCTCCACCTGTTTGTTTCTTCATTGCTGCGGCTCCTGTGGGAGTGCAGTATGTTATTGGAGGCAAGGGAGATAGTGCAGCAGCCACCGAAGTCTATGTATACGACCCCAAGTCCCGTGCCTGGTAAAGAAGTATACAATCTCCCAACATATCTGCTGGCTACCATATCTGTGTGCAAAAACAATAAATAACATTTCCAAACATTCTTCCCTCCTCAGCCGCACACACCCTTTCCTCTGCTGCTCGTCCTTTCTCCCTTCCAGCATCTTTGGTCTTCACTCCACTTCCCCCTTGCCCCCTGCCCTCCCGCCCCTTCCCCCTCTCCCCTCTCTCTCTTTCCCCCAACACCTCTCTCTTCCCCGAACCTTCCCCAAGGTCCAAGCCAGAAGTGCGTGGCACACCGCCTCCCGCGCGCTACGCGCATGCAGCCACACTCGTTGAGCCACTCCGCATCGCAATCTTCGGAGGCAAGCTCTCCGGCTCATCAGAGAACGCACCAGGCCAGGACCAGCAGCAGCAGCACCATAGGGCGTGCTCAGACCTCTGGCTTCTCCAAGTGGACGACTCCAAGCCAGACGCCATTACAGTTTCATGGGGGCAGGCGTCCTCTCAGCCGCCCGCCATGCCTGTGGTCATCTGCGGGCCCTCCGGCGTGGGCAAGGGGACACTGATCAATAGGCTGATGGAGGAGTTTCCTGGGAGGTGCGGGTTTTCCGTGAGCCACACGACGCGGGGGCCGCGGCCGGGGGAGGAAGACGGGGTGCATTATAACTTCACGACGCGCGAGGTGATGGAGAAGGAGATCGCGGAGGGGCGGTTTCTGGAGAAGGCGGACGTGCATGGGAACCTTTACGGGACGAGCGTGGCTGCTGTCAAGAAGGTCACGGATTCTGGCAAGGTGGGTGCGTGGTGGTGATAGTGATTTCAGAGTCCACTCTAGGCTGCTGTGAGGGGAAGCCACGGAGTTTGACAGGGTGGGTGGCGGTGGGGTTTGTTGAATGCTTGTACCGCGAGGGTGTTGCGGGTGTGGTGTGGGAATGTGCATGGGTGGTGGGGAAGTGCAGTAGTGGGGAATGGGGTTACAGGGTACTGGGCTGTAGGGGTGGAGTGGGGGAAGGGAGTGAATGAGAAAAGGTTAGAAAGAAATGATGAGGTTCCAATCCTTTTGCCTCTTGTTACCATGCAAACCAACCCCAACCCTTGCTGCTCTCCCGTGTCCTTTCTACAGCCACAACCCGTAGCCCTTTTCCCCTCCCTCGCACCCTCCTCCCACCCACCAGATGTGTATACTGGACATTGACGTGCAGGGCGCACGGCAGGTGAAGGCATCCCCAGCGCTGGACGCTGTGTTCATCTTCGTGGCGCCTCCCTCCTTTGAGGAGCTGGAGCGACGACTCAGAGGCAGGTGCGTGGCAGGGAGGGGCGAGGGGGGAGTGAGTGGAAGGAGGGAGAGGAAAGGGGATAGTTCTTGGGATGGAGTGTGACTTGGGACATAATGGCTGTCAATGCGATGTGTTGTGCGTTGTGGAATGTGTCCCTGCATAGCAATGGAGCAATGGCAATCTCTCTTGGCTTGCTGGCTGGAGCTGTGCTGCTTCAGGGCAGCTCAGCGGAGACGTGCCTTGGATATGTGGTAATAAGTTGTTCCTGCACATTCCTGTGCACTGTGCACGCACACTGGCGTGCCTATGTCTTCTCATGTGTGCATGTGTGCATGTGTGTGTGCATGTGTGGGCGAGCAGGGGCACGGAGACGGAGGAACAGGTGGAGAAGAGGCTAGGCAATGCGCGCAAGGAGATGGAGGCGGGCAAGGACGCCACACTCTTCAACCACACCATCATCAACGATAACCTTGATGCCGCCTATGCCAAGCTCAAGGTGCATTCCCTACCTCCCACTCAACCCAACCCAACCCCCTTTCCCTACGGGTTTATGAGGCGCCTCAAAAGGCAGGCAAGGACGCCACGCTCTTCAACCACACCATCATCAACGATAACCTCGATGCCGCCTATGCCAAACTCAAGGTCTGCTATCCACCTCTCCTCCCAACCCCCTGCCTACGGTTCTGTATGTTGTGGTGATGTGTGTTGTGTGTTGTGCTTTCTCGTGGTGTGATGTATCTCTTGTGACTCAAACGTCAACCCTGTACTTTCGGTTTCCTTAATGTGCAGCGCTTTTCGATACGTTGTTGCTCACAACCCCCCACCCCTTCTCTGTACCTCTCCACCCCTCGCCGTCCCATTTTCTCTCCCTCTCTGCTCTCCCCCTCCCATCGATGCACACCCACTCTTGCACACATACCTACTCCATCACGCACATCAACACACACACACACACCAATGCACACACATCAACACACCCACGCACACACCAACACACGCACACGTAAACACACCCACACACGCATCAACCACAGGCGCTGCTTGGGCTGGGGGCTGCAGCAGAGACGGTGTCAGGGGGTGCGGCCTGGCCTGCTCCTCGCTCCCATGCAGCAGCAGCAGCCGTGGCCTCTCGCATCATTCTCCACGGAGGCCTCTCGTCCCGCGGGGCTCCTCTCTCAGATCTGTACGCCTATCTACCTATCCCTTTTCTTTCCAGTGCTTTTTCTGTCCTTTTCTTCGCTGGACAGACAAACAAACCAGTCTGAATGTCTTTGCCGCCGCTGTTCGCTTTTATTCATCATGCATCAGCATTCGTCCCTCCTGCATACAACCTAGCACATTCCTTTCCCATAATTCCCATCCTAATCTGTCACCACTCCTCCCCCCTCCTCCCCCCTCCACCTCTGCCCTTTATAGTCACATCCTCGATCTGACAAACCTGTCTGGGGAGCCTCCAGCAGCAGCTACAGGGGTGCGTTGTGTCCCTACACACTCCATCCCCACGCCTGCCTCCCCTTCCCTCATCACCAACATCCTCACCACGCTCGGCCTCTCCGAGCCTCCTAACACGGCTGAGAGAATCCCGGCGAGGTTCGGGCACCGAGCCGTTGTGGTAGGCCCGGGAGAAGTGCTGTTTGTTGGTGGGGCTGCTTCGGAGGAAGGCTCGGCGACGGCGGGCCTGGCTGAGACGGCGTTGCTCGCACTGAAAGGGTTGACTGCTGTGCATTAAGGCATGTGTTTGGGAACGCTGAGGGCTTTTTTTTATCAGAGGTTTCAAAGTTTTGTCGGTGCCTGTCAGACAACTTTGGGGAGAAATGCGTGCACAGCTGTGGGTGAATGGAACTGCAGTGAAGGAGTGGGTGGGCCCCTGCCTGTCGGGACTGGGTGAGGTCAATGACTAGCATTGAGGTTGAAAATGTGAATGGTGGATGGAGGGACCAATGTGGCGTAAAGTTGTGGCTAGGTTGGGACTCGGTGTTTGTCACCTGTGTAAGGACTGGAGTAGAGGTTATAATTATTAAGCTGGTGGATACAATGCAAATGCTGCAAGCAAGTACCGTATACTCCCGGACAAAACACCCCCCCATAATTGTACACCCCCGGGTAGCTTGTGCGGGGTGGGTGTTATGATAGACCTCGTTTCTACTATACCCCCCTTTTTGGCTGATTTTCTATAACACCCCCCTTTTCTTACAGATTCATTATTATAGTCGTTAACGAGTAGCTGCAATACGGAAGAATATCGTGTGAATTTCTCCCTCAATGAAAATTTGCGGTACATTCAAAGGCAATCTGCCGAGATTTGCCCCCTCCCACTATTTCTCTGTTGCCACGTGCAGGTGAATTCCGTTGCAAGTGGCAAGAGAGGGCATCCGCCAGACGTTCACGCTTCCGGCCTCTCCACAGCAAAATGGGATTGCTGAGCGCCGCATTGGCATGGTCATGGACGTCGCTCGTACGTCCATGATTCATGCGGCTGCTCCCCATTTTCTGTGGCCGTTCACGGTTCAGTACGCGGCGCATCAGATCAACCTTCAGCCCCGGGTCTCCTTGCCGGAGACCTCCCCTACTCTGCGGTGGACGGGAGAGGTTGGCGATGCGTCGGTGTTCCGGGTCTGGGGCCGTCGTGCCTTTGTCCGCGATACCACCGCGGACAAGCTCTCCTCGCGCGCCGTTTCTTGTGTCTTCCTTGGCTTTGTCCCTGACGCGCCTGGCTGGCAGTTTTACCACCCCACCTCGCGCCGTGTTCTGTCCTCCCAGGACGTCACGTTTGACGAGTCGGTTCCTTACTACCGTCTCTTCCCCTACCGCACTGCGCCCCTCCCCCCGCCCCCGCTCTTCCTCGCGCCAGGTCCCCCTCCGGTAGACCCCCCTTCCCCCTCAGGGTCCTGCCCCCTCAGGTGTGTCCCAGGTAGACGCAGTCGAGCCTGTCGAGGTAGCTGTTGACTCTGGTGCTACTAGGGGTGCTGAGCCTGGGGGTGCTGAGCCTGGGGGTGTTGAGCCTGGGGGTGCTGAGTCTGGGGGTGTTGAGCCTTGGGGTGCTTCGTCTAGGGGTGCTAAGCCTGGGGGGCCACATGGCATTTTCGTGAGGGCGATGAAGTTCGAGGCCGAAACTCACATTCGCGCCTCAGGCAGTGATGCTAAAAGGACCAGCAAAACACCCACATTGACTAATTAAAAAAACACTAACACTAAAATATGCCATATGTAAAGACCCGGGTATTATGTATTTTTTTCCTATGAGGAGACCCCCCCCATTTTTTCCCTGTATTTTTAGCTATACCCTAGGGTGTTATGTCCGGGAGAATACGGTATTAGACGACTGGTACAACTTTGTACAAGCAAGCAAACATCTCATTTTGGAATGGGAAATCACTAGACTAAGAATATATGCTTTTAGATATAGATGGCTATATATGTAAATATATGTATATATGTATACAAAAACATAGTCATGTCTAATACTGACACACATGGCTAAAAGGGACCCAGCTACAATATACACGCAAAACCACACTAACACAACACACCTCTGCACCTAGACTGTGCAGACTCCTTGGCGAATCCTGGTTTGGTCTGGCAGGCAGATTTTGGCGCCTGCGGGTATTTTATCGACGCACTCGTATCCATTGATGCGCTTGTAGCATCCCCGAATGCCTCTGAAGTATTTGATCTGGATGAAGCTGCAGCGCTCACTCCCACTTGCTGTGAGCCCCTTGCTCTTTGGGCAGATCCCCACCGTGTACTCACCCGACACCTGTATGCACGCCTGCGATGGGATGGGACGCACATAACCAGAATGGGAGGCACATAACCAGAATGAGGGTGCGCGAGGGGAAAGAGTCACTCGCGGATGCGCTGTGCTGTGCTGTGCTGTGCTGTGCTGTGCTGCGCTGCGCTGTGCTGTGCGTGCATGATGCAAGGTCATACAGCACGGAATGCAGGCCTTGTTGCAACGCAGTAAGGCCACACATGAATGGAACACTTTTGAGGCACCTGTGCAAGCATCCACCATGCAAGACCTCCTCTCGTGCCTCCTCATGTTAACAAGTCTTCTTTGAGACGACCCCCCCAAAAAAAAAAATGGAAACCCTCGGGATCGTACCTCAAAGCCCGTGTGTGCAAGTCCAGGCCAGCAGGGGTTTCATTAAAACCATTATAGGAAAAGCGCCTGCTTATCAAGCCTCCTTATACCGTACCTCTTGTTTAAGATGTCTCAAAAACCGCCTGTAGTACCAAGCATCGCGTACCTCAAAGCCCGTGTGCAGGTCGAGGCCAGCAGCGTCCGGCACAAGGCGGTTGCACTTGATGCCGGGGTTGAGGCGGAAGAAGTCGAGCGGCGAGAGCGGCGGGGAGGGCACGCTGCGGATGGCATCGCACGTCTCGGCGGTCTGCACCAGGTAGTACTGCGAGCACACCGGTATCACCTGCCCCGCCTTCCCCGCCGCCCCTGCCCGCCGTTCCACACACACCGCCTGGTTCGGCTGCACGGAGCCGCCGTTGGAGCAGCTGAGCCCCGGGTTGAGGCTCTGGAATTCCGTAGCGCAGGAGAATGTGTCCCGGCAGTTGTTGAGGTTGAAGTACTGTCCTATGGAGTAGCATGTGTCGTCCTGGTGAGATGGGGATTCCATAGGGGGGGAATAAGCGGCTTCTGAGTCGACGGAATACTCAGTCGTTGAGGTTCAAGTACTTTTCTCCTATGGATGGACCGGCACGTGTTGTCCTGGTGAGATGGGAGGTTTATTGGAGGGGAAAGGGGCGGTGGTGACAGTGGATGGGAGAGGGTTGGTGGGAGAGAGGACAGGAAGGCAGGGAGACAGAGAGAGTTAGCATGCTTTGAGGGTCATACAGGGTGTAGGTGTGGGATTGGTGATGGAAGGGGAGTGGTGGGGTTTGGAGGTTGGTATGCACTGGCTTGAGCTAACCGGGCCTGAGCCTGAGCCGAGCCGAGCCGAACCTCAAAAAGGGAGAACTGAGCTGCGTTGTGGTGAAGCAACACACGCATAAATAAACCTGTCTCCCTCCAACAGCAAACTTGTCCAGGGGGCGATGCAAACTTGCCTTGGACTCCCCATCATCACGCCTTTTGAGTCAACTCAAACGGCGCTTGGAAACCCGTTCACGCACCTATGCATGCACGGGTGTGAAAGACCTTACAGTCGACTTAAAGCCCAGCACACGCTGCTTACCGGGCCAGTGGTGTAGTAGACGGAGCAGGGGGCGAGTCCGGACTTGGACACGACATTGAGCACCTGGCCTATGGGCAAGGGCTCGATACAGCTCACAGTGGGCTGCACCGGTACAGGCACAAGGGGGACAGAGAGGAAATGGGGGGAAGGGTAAAGAGTTTTTGACGTGTCAGGGATTGAGCAGAAGGAGATCGAGCATGAACCAAGCGACGCATCACATCACATGGCAGAGATGGCTCCTGAGACGACTCACGGATCAACCAGGGTACATACAATGTAGTAGCAGCAGCGGCAGCAGCGGCAGCAGCGGCAGCAGCAGCAGCGGCAGCAGCAGCAGCGGCAGCAGCTCCAGCGGCGGCGGCGGCGGCAGCAGCAGCAGCAGCAGCACACTGTCTACCATTGACTCACATTGAGCTTGGTGAAGTCGTTACGGGTGAGGCCGTAGACGGGATAGATGTCTGAGCAGAAGATGTTGGGCGCCAGGACCGTGTACTGTGAGCGCGTGTCTCCTGCAGGGGGGGCGTTGCACAGCACGTTGGTTGCACCGCAGGTTGGTTGCAGACCAGTAACAAGAGAGAGAAACAAGAGCAAACACACCAAACAGGACACCACACCACGCGCCCTGCACCAAACATAGAATCGATTCCCTGCATGCGCACACATTGCGTGTGTTGCACACAGAGCAGCAATGCAAAGGAGCTGGGGCGTGGCAGCAATGATCCAGCAACATGTCTCAACCAGCTGTTGAGTACCAAGTGAAACGACAGACATGAACAGGCACAAGGAGAAGGTACCTGGAGCACAGAAGAAGGTACCTGGAGCACAGAAGAAGGTACCTGGAGCACAGGAGAAGGTACCTGGAGCACAGAAGAAGGTACCTGGAGCACAGGAGAAGGTACCTGGAGCACAGAAGAAGGTACCTGGAGCACAGGAGAAGGTACCTGGAGCACAGAAGAAGGTACCTGGAGCACAGGAGAAGGTGCCATCGACGGTGGTGCCCTGCCTGAAGCCTGGTGGACACACACACGAGTACGACCCCCCCCCGTCATTCACACACGTGCCCACCGCACACGGGTTGCGGGCCAACGCCCCACACATGTCCACTGCAGGGAAGCATAAAAGGAGAAGTATGTTAGGCTGCATAGGCTGGTAGTAGCTCATCTCACGTGCGTGGGGCGTTGGCCCACACACTGTTGTTTGCTGTGCGGGCCAACGCCCCACACATGTCCACTCCAGTGCGGATGGATCCGAGGCAAAATGGATCAATCAAGGCACAACGAGCCCATGAATGAACACAAGAAAATGAGAGAGTGGAAAACCAAGAATGGAAAGGTGAATGATTAACAACGTGGGGAGACGGGAGATGGGAGACGGGAGATGGGAGATGGGAGATGGGAGATGGGAGATGGGAAGATGGGGGATGGGGGATGGGAGATGGGAGATGGGAGATGGGAGATTGGAGATTGGAGATGGGAGATGGGAGATGGGAGACAAAAGCCACGTGCATCAAACCATAGGCACAGGTACTGGAGCCATCATACCATAGGCGCAGGTGCGGGAGCCATCAGCGTTGGTAGCTTCGATGAACCGGGGGTCGGTGCAGTTGCAGCGGTTGGTGCTGCCGTCCACCACACAGGCGAAGTTTCCACACGGGTTGAAGAGCGACCCTGACGCGTCGCTCCTCGCTGCTGTGTTGCATGGGTCCGACACCGCTGGTGATTCGAGGACGAGGAGATGGGGGAGATGGGGGAGAAAGTGCAGTAGCGGAGGTGTGAGGAATATGAAATGTTTGTGTTGGCTTTTGTTTTTGTTTTTGTTTTTGTTTTTTGTTGGTATTTTTTGTTTTTGTCTTTTGTTTTTGTTTTTTCTATTTTTTTTTTTAAACGCAAGGTTTTTACCTCAAACATGGATTGCTCAACAATGCGCTCGCGAACACACAAGCGCATACTGACCTCTGACAATTGGGTAAATTCCCGGCAGCGTGTTGATACCGCACACGCCATCCCCCCCCTGGATGTCCATGCGCATGTGGCCCCCATCGCCCCAGTCAGGCCCCCACGAGTTGCGGATGATCCAGTAAGGTGGCGCCATGTGGGGGAAGCGCGGGTCCTTCCCCACCAGGCGGTACCCCACCAGCAGCACCACGTGGTTCAGGTTGTACGTGAAGCACGCTGGGTCCTGGTACTTGGACAGCTAAGAAGTGCAGTGGGAATTGGAGTGTTTTTTTATTGTTGTGAAAAGCCAAAAGGCTGGAAACGTACCTTCATGGGCAACCACAAATAAGATAAGGTGCCTTCTAGCATTGGTGCTTACATACAGAGAGAAAGAGAGAGGCATCGGGGGAAAGTGGCGAGCTGGGAGAGATTGAACGACAGTAACAAGAACCGAGCCGAGCTGAACCGCGCCGAACAAAACCGAATTGAACCGAATCGAATCAACTGTACACACTGCTCGCTCACCCCATCGTAATTCTGGATAGATGGAGCCGTTGCCTCTATTTGCACCACCACTGGCTGGCGCTGCACTGCGAGCAGCAGGCCAAACCAGCCGTAGAAGGACGTGGACTCGAATCCCCTGATGTAGAAGTCGCCTGTCAGTGCCTGCTGCTGTTATGGCCGGAAGGGATGATACATTGACCATGCCATTCAAGAAGAGCAATGGACGATTAGCAGATGGATAGACGGGCTGAGGTGTTGAAAGAAAGCGCGTGACGAGGGCAGCTGTTGACTTTGTTGAGTATTAGAGACAGAAAGGGAAGAAAGGAGAGAAAACAGAACGAAAAAGATGGTGGAGGATATCAGGAGTATCAGGATATCAGGAGTATCAGGATATCAGGAGTATCAGGATATCAGGAGTATCAGGATATCAGGAGTATCAGGATATCAGGAGTATCAGGATATCAGGAGTATCAGGATATCAGGAGTATCAGGATATCAGGAGTATCAGGATATCAGGAGTATCAGGATATCAGGAGTATCAGGATATCAGGAGTATCAGGATATCAGGAGTATCAGGATATCAGGAGTATCAGGATATCAGGAGTATCAGGATATCAGGAGTATCAGGATATCAGGAGTATCAGGATATCAGGAGTATCAGGATATCAGGAGTATCAGGATATCAAGAGTATCAGGATATCAGGAGTATCAGGATATCAGGAGTATCAGGATATCAGGAGTATCAGGATATCAGGAGTATCAGGAGTATCAGGATATCAGGAGTATCAGGATATCAGGAGTATCAGGAGTATCAGGATATCAGGAGTATCAGGATATCAGGAGTATCAGGATATCAGGAGTATCAGGATATCAGGAGTATCAGGATATCAGGAGTATCAGGATATCAGGAGTATCAGGATATCAGGAGTATCAGGATATCAGGAGTATCAGGATATCAGGAGTATCAGGATATCAGGAGTATCAGGATATCAGGAGTATCAGGATATCAGGAGTATCAGGATATCAGGAGTATCAGGATATCAGGAGTATCAGGATATCAGGAGTATCAGGATATCAGGAGTATCAGGATATCAGGAGTATCAGGATATCAGGAGTATCAGGATATCAGGAGTATCAGGATATCAGGAGTATCAGGATATCAGGAGTATCAGGATATCAGGAGTATCAGGATATCAGGAGTATCAGGATATCAGGAGTATCAGGATATCAGGAGTATCAGGATATCAGGAGTATCAGGATATCAGGAGTATCAGGATATCAGGAGTATCAGGATATCAGGAGTATCAGGATATCAGGAGTATCAGGATATCAGGAGTATCAGGATATCAGGAGTATCAGGATATCAGGAGTATCAGGATATCAGGAGTATCAGGATATCAGGAGTATCAGGATATCAGGAGTATCAGGATATCAGGAGTATCAGGATATCAGGAGTATCAGGATATCAGGAGTATCAGGATATCAGGAGTATCAGGATATCAGGAGTATCAGGATATCAGGAGTATCAGGATATCAGGAGTATCAGGATATCAGGAGTATCAGGATATCAGGAGTATCAGGATATCAGGAGTATCAGGATATCAGGAGTATCAGGATATCAGGAGTATCAGGATATCAGGAGTATCAGGATATCAGGGAGTATCAGGATATCAGGAGTATCAGGATATCAGGAGTATCAGGATATCAGGAGTATCAGGATATCAGGAGTATCAGGATATCAGGAGTATCAGGATATCAGGAGTATCAGGATATCAGGAGTATCAGGATATCAGGAAGTATCAGGATATCAGGAGTATCAGGATATCAGGAGTATCAGGATATCAGGAGTATCAGGATATCAGGAGTATCGGATATCAGGAGTATCAGGATATCAGGAGTATCAGGATATCAGGAGTATCAGGATATCAGGAGTATCAGGATATCAGGAGTATCAGGATATCAGGAGTATCAGGATATCAGGAGTATCAGGATATCAGGAGTATCAGTATCAGGATATCAGGAGTATCAGGATATCAGGAGTCAGGAGTATTCAGGATATCAGGAGTATCAAGGATATCAGGAGTATCAGGGATATTCAAGAGTATCAGGATATCAGGTAGTATCAGGATATCAGGAGTATCAGGATATCAGGAGTATCAGGATATCAAGGAGTATCAGGATATCAGGAGTATCAGGATATCAGGAGTATCAGGATATCAGGAGTATCAGGATATCAGGATTATCAGGATATCAGGAGTATCAGGATATCAGGAGTATCAGGATATCAGGAGTTATCAGGATATCAGGAGTATCAGGATATCAGGAGTATCAGGATATCAGGAGTATCAGATATCAGGAGTATCAGGATATCCGGAGTATCAGGATATCAGGAGTATCAGGATATCAGGAGTATCAGGATATCAGGAGTATCAGGATATCAGGAGTATCAGGATATCAGGTAGTATCAGGATATCAGGAGTATCAGGATATCAGGAGTATCAGGATATCAGAGTATCAGGATATCAGGAGTATCAGGATATCAGGAGTATCAGGATATCAGGAGTATCAGGATATCAGGAGTATCAGGATATTCAGGGAGTATCAGGATATCAGGAGTATCAGGATATCAGGAAGTATCAGGATATCAGGAGTATCAGGATATCAGGAGTATCAGGATATCAGGAGTATCAGGATATCAGGAGTATCAGGATATCAGGAGTATCAGGATATCAGGAGTATCAGGATATCAGGAGTATCAGGATATCAGGAGTATCAGGATATCAGGAGTATCAGGATATCAGGAGTATCAGGATATCAGGAGTATCAGGATATCAGGAGTATCAGGATATCAGGAGTATCAGGATATCAGGAGTATCAGGATATCAGGAGTATCAGGATATCAGGAGTATCAGGATATCAGGAGTATCAGGATATCAGGAGTATCAGGATATCAGGAGTATCAGGATATCAGGAGTATCAGGATATCAGGAGTATCAGGATATCAGGAGTATCAGGATATCAGGAGTATCAGGATATCAGGAGTATCAGGATATCAGGAGTATCAGGATATCAGGAGTATCAGGATATCAGAGTATCAGGAGTATCAGGAGTATCAGGATATCAGGAGTATCAGGAGTCAGGATATCAGGAGTATCAGGATATCAGGAGTATCAGGATATCAGGAGTATCAGGATATCAGGAGTATCAGGATATCAGGAGTATCAGGATATCAGGAGTATCAGGATATCAGGAGTATCAGGATATCAGGAGTATCAGGATATCAGGAGTATCAGGATATCAGGAGTATCAGGATATCAGGAGGTATCAGGATATCAGGAGTATCAGGATATCAGGAGTATCAGGATATCAGGAGTATCAGGATATCAGGAGTATCAGGATATCAGGAGTATCAGGATATCAGGAGTATCAGGATATCAGGAGTATCAGGATATCAGGAGTATCAGGATATCAGGAGTATCAGGATATCAGGAGTATCAGGATATCAGGAGTATCAGGATATCAGGAGTATCAGGATATCAGGAGTATCAGGATATCAGGAGTATCAGGATATCAGGAGTATCAGGATATCAGGAGTATCAGGATATCAGGAGTATCAGGATATCAGGAGTATCAGGATATCAGGAGTATCAGGATATCAGGAGTATCAGGATATCAGGAGTATCAGGATATCAGGAGTATCAGGATATCAGGAGTATCAGGATATCAGGAGTATCAGGATATCAGGAGTATCAGGATATCAGGAGTATCAGGATATCAGGAGTATCAGGATATCAGGAGTATCAGGATATCAGGAGTATCAGGATATCAGGAGTATCAGGATATCAGGAGTATCAGGATATCAGGAGTATCAGGATATCAGGAGTATCAGGATATCAGGAGTATCAGGATATCAGGAGTATCAGGATATCAGGAGTATCAGGATATCAGGAGTATCAGGATATCAGGAGTATCAGGATATCAGGAGTATCAGGATATCAGGAGTATCAGGATATCAGGAGTATCAGGATATCAGGAGTATCAGGATATCAGGAGTATCAGGATATCAGGAGTATCAGGATATCAGGAGTATCAGGATATCAGGAGTATCAGGATATCAGGAGTATCAGGATATCAGGAGTATCAGGATATCAGGAGTATCAGGAGTATCAGGATATCAGGAGTATCAGGATATCAGGAGTATCAGGATATCAGGAGTATCAGTATCAGGATATCAGGAGTATCAGGATATCAGGAGTATCAGGATATCAGGAGTATCAGGATATCAGGAGTATCAGGATATCAGGAGTATCAGGATATCAGGAGTATCAGGATATCAGGAGTATCAGGATATCAGGAGTATCAGGATATCAGGAGTATCAGGATATCAGGAGTATCAGGATATCAGGAGTATCAGGATATCAGGAGTATCAGGATATCAGGAGTATCAGGATATCAGGAGTATCAGGATATCAGGAGTATCAGGATATCAGGAGTATCAGGATATCAGGAGTATCAGGATATCAGGAGTATCAGGATATCAGGAGTATTCAGGATATCAGGAGTATCAGGATATCAGGAGTATCAGGATATCAGGAGTATCAGGATATCAGGAGTATCAGGGATATCAGGAGTATCAGGATATCATATATCAGGAAGTATCAGGATATCAGGAGTATCAGGATATCAGGAGTATCAGGATATCAGGAGTAATCAGGATATCAGGAGTAATCAGGATATCAGGAGTATCAGGATATC